GCCGGTCTGCGGTCCGGATTGCTTCGATGTGTTCCTGGCACGGGCGGTTCCCGTTCGCCGTGATGTTGTGGCCCAGGTATTGGATCGTTTGCCCCCCGAAGCGACACTTTTCGAGGGACAAGCGGAGTTTGTGGCGTTGCAGTCGTTCCAGCACGAGGTGTAGATGTTTGAGGTGCTCGTCCCAGGAGTCTGAGTAGATTATTATGTCATCCAGGTATACCATGACGAATTTCCGTAAATACCCGGCGAGAACGTCCTGGGTCATTAGCTTCTGGAACGTAGCAGGGGCATTCTTGAGCCCGAACGGCATTACTTTGAATTGATAACTCGCTCCATCAGGGGTTGAAAACGCGGTGAGATGTCGGGATTCCGTCTCTAGCGGCACCTGCCAGTAGCCTGATTTGAGATCCAGGCTGGAAAAAACTTTGGCCGTCCCCAGGTCTCGGAGGGTCTCCTGTATGACTGGCAGGTTGGTGCTCTCGTCTTTTGTGATGGCGTTTAGACGACGGTAGTCGATGCAGAATCTCGGGCGGCCGTCTTTTTTCTGAATTATGACGATGGGCGAGCAATATTCGGACGTGCTGGGCTCGATCACCTGCGCTGCTAACATAGCTTCCACTTCATCCGCGATGACCTTCTTTTTGTTTGGCGAATGTCGATATGGCGGAAGTCGGAAGGGCGTTGTTTTGGTGACTCGGATGCGATGTGTGGTGGATGCTGTTGTTGTGGGCGTTGCAGGATCGGCCAGTGTGCTACCGAAAGTTTCCAGCAGTGTGGCCAGGCGTCGATCGAGTGGTGGTTGGAACCCGTGCTTGACTCCGGCGAAGTTTATGGAGTCGCTCGTTGTTGGGCCGCGGTTCGGAGCTTGGTCCCAGTGTGTTGTCTGCCTTGTATGGGTTCCCCAGTGGATGCACGCTCTCTCGTAATCCAGCACCGCTCGATGTTCTTGGAGCCACTTCTGTCCCAAGATCATGGGCACGACAAGGTTTGGTGTCACCAGGAAGTCGTCCGATTCTTGCTTGTCGTTGAGCGTGTACTCGACTCTGGATGTGCCGATGACTTCCAGCTGATGGCGGGGGTTCGCTAGGCCGGCTGTTTGGTGGTTGCTATGGTGGATTTTCCACGCGAGCTCCTTCTGGATGAAGTTATGGGATGATCCGGAGTCGAGGAGAGCTCTTACGCTTTTTCCGCGTACCTTGACTGCCAGCGTTGGTAGGTTGGGTCGGGTCGCAGTCTGGATTAGGTGGACGGCCGGGCATTGTTCCCGACCGCTGCCCCGTTTCCCTGGTCTCGGCGGCGGGTCAGTACTGGGCAGTCTCGGTGGAAGTGATATTCCGGGCAGTGGTGGCACTTTGGTGTGTTGGGAGGTCTGTCGGCGGGGGTTGGTGGCGATGGTCTGGGTTGGTTGTTTCGAGGTAGCGCTTTGTTGCAGTTTTCGATTTCCTCGGCGTGACGCACCAAGTCGAGGAGTGAAGTGGGTGTTGTGGTTAAAAAGGCTACTCTAATGCGTGGGTGCAGCAGGTCTCTCAGTAGCTCGAGGTGCTCGCCGATCGGGATCTTCAGCCGTTTTGCTAGCTGTGCCTTCCTCTGGAGGAATTGCTGCGGCGACTCTGCTCCTTGTTCTCGGCCGAAGAATTCTGATTGCATCTTCCCGCGAATCTTGCTGCTGTCGTATTTTTCGCGGGTGTAGTTCTTTAGGTCGTTGTATGTCGGTGAAAATGCCTCGTAACTGTTCCACCATTTCGCAGCCTCCCCTTTTAGTTGTGCTGCTGCTGTTTTTAACTTTTCCGCCGGGTCGGTGGTTTGGATTGTCTGCTCGAGCGTGCTGAAGAAGACTGTTGGGTCCTCCAGGTGGTCGCCGCTGAAGGTCGGTAGGTCCGGTGATGCGGTTTTCTGCGCGTTCTGGAGGGCGTCGGTCAGCGCCTTTAGCATGTCGAGGGTGTGTTGAGAGTGTTGGGCGCCACTGGACGGGGTTGCCGGGTCCAGACCGGGGTTGATTGCCGGGGTCATCTCCGTTGTTTGAGTGTCGATACCTTCGTCGGCGCCGGAGTTGGACGTCGGGGTGTTCCTGCTCCTCGTATTCATGGTGTTGCGCGTCGGCTGTCGCGGGAGCGTGGGCGTAGATCCTCAGAGCGCGATGCTGCTGGTTGACTCACACGTATGGGCGCCAATTGTTACCGGGCGGGGTAACGTAAGTGGCAAACGGAGGTTGAAAACGTATATTACACAATATTTACAAATAATACAGAGGATATATGTACATATATAAGATCGCTTCTGGCACGTGGGATGGCGCCGGACTTGACTACGGTCAAGCCGGGAAGTGATGGCGTGCGGAGACGGTACTTGAGCCCAAGCGACCAGCCTCAGTCGCTTGTGTAGGGTAAGGTAGGCTTGCCCAGGCACAAGTGAAGTTCCCCTGTCGGTGCGCTGCTTATAAACGATTTCCGGTAGAGGCGTCTGGCGACGCGGCCAATAGGGCGCTAGTGGATGGTGGGGTGGAAGTTGCAACCCCTCTCCTAGTCGTCGTAACACTTGGCTTGTTCCGTCTGCGGTCCGTGCGTAGTCCAGCTGGAGAGTACCAAACGAAGACCAAGATAAACCAGCCTGCCTGTGATTGGTCCAACTGAAAATCGAATAGCAGCCGCAGTGGGCGGTCCGAATTCATTCGACTTCCACATCGATCGTGCGACAAAGTTATCCTCCAAGTCCTGGTGCACTTATGAACTAGAGGTATTTATAAACAATTTTCCGTTGTTATTGGCCCCGTGGTGGAGTATTATTGCGTTGTAGTTATTTTGCGTTGTTATTGGCCCCGTGGTGGACTTATTATTGCGTTGTCGTTTATTTATTATTATAAGATTATTATAAAGTGGTACGTTTGTAAAGGCGATTTAATTACCTACTAGTGGTTCGTTCAGATCAGTGCTTATTAGCACTGTTTGGGTTCATTTTAACGACTCGACCCTGGAAGCGTTACTACACGCATTTACAGCAGTTTTGTTTTGACTTTCGATTAAATTGGATGATCATTTATGAAATACGAATTAAGTTTCTTTCTGTACTGTGCGGTTTGGGAGTAAATACTTTGATTTTAATTCAAGTAATAAATACAGATTTTCCTTTATATGCAGTTACTTTTTGTGTATGGATGAGTTAACTTTATTTTCACAGGAGTGTACCGCCTCACCCCCATTTCTCTTAATATGTGTTATTTACAGTTAAAAGGCGATTTCTAGGAGAAAAAGAACTTAACAGGTTTTAATAAAGATTATTGATTTTTATTCATTTATCCTTTCCCCTCTCCTTGAGGCCAGAAGAATGATCGACTGAAGCTAGCCGGCGCCCAACAACCCTTAGTTTAGATAAAAAGAACCACCCCCAAATAAAATATTTAGAGAAGAAACGGTCAAGAGAGTTGAAAAGTAACCAGCCGGTTACATTTGATACCCATATGTCGATATCTGCCATTTATGGTTTTTAGGTTATTTTGACTCTAAGAAAAAAAATGGCGGATGCAGATGGTACCTTGATAATTGATTACTTGAAAACGGTTGTAGTCATGGCAACCCATTTTTATCAGTGCATAGAGAATGAATAGGGCTTTCTTTTAGTGCACTTAAAAAAAAGTTAAGTTGCGTACAACCGCACCTAGGGAGATCCAAATTTAAGAAACTTCAAAGTCTATAAACTCAGTTTTTTTAAATGGAATGACCATGTTCTTAATATTGCGTGAGGTAGAGAATCGAAATTGGCATATTTTGATATTACATGTTCCTATAGCTATCTTTAACAGCCATTTTTTTTCGCATTTTCTTTTTAGTAGTTGGCCATGATTTTATAACGATCGAATTTTAAACAAATCAAGGAATGGATTCTTTAATACCATTGATTCTAGTTCTAGTCTAAATAATTCATTAATAAATAACTCATTTATTAAGGATATAGGACGGAAAATTTTTGAAAAATCTAAACAGAGTCGTTCAACTGAATTCCTTAAACAACATATAAGTCTGGAAATTACGAGAGGTAATGTGATATCTGTTCTAGCAACAATTCCATACCAAAAATGTTTCAACGAAGTTTTTTATATTTTGCATTGAATTTATTTTGTTATTCTTGCATTTGCAATTCAAAAAATGCTCTTAAATATTCTCTTGTAGAGCTTTGTATCACTTTTGCTTCAATGGTTTGTAGTGCATTTGGGGGTACAACATTTTCAAAATTCATACAATTTCGTTCCAGTTTTCGAATGAATGTACGGAAAGCACGCGCCGCGGTTCTACCCATTTCACCATAAATAACAATTAAATTCCAAAATAGGTGAAACCACTGCGAGTCATTTTTATATACATAGTGTCAATTCAATAAAATGGGAATAAGTCAGAAACTGTTAAAGATAGCTATAGGAACATGTATTGTCAAAATATGCCCATTTCGATTCTCTATCTCATGGAATAGTAAGAACATGGTCATTCCATTTAAAAAAACTGAGTTTTTAGTCTTTGAAGTTTCATAAATTTGGATATCCATAGGGGCGGTCGTACGCAACTTAACTTTTTTTTAAGTGCACTAAAAGAAAGCCCTATTCATTCTCTATGCACTGATAAAAATATGTTGCCATGACTACAACCGTTTTCAAGTAATCAATTATCAAGGTACCATCTGCATCCGCCATCTTTTTTCTTAAAGTCAAAATAACTTAAAAACCATAAATGGTAGATATCGACATATGGGCATCAAAAGAAGTGAAATTTCACGTAAAATCCAAAAATGCAAAAATAGGGGTTGCCATTTAAAATAACGAAGTTACTATCTACTTCCGGTGTTTCCGGAAGTGCGGCCATTTTGAAAATATTTTATATCGATTCGGCCTTCAGAGTAACTCCTAAGTGCAAATTTTCAAAAACCTACCTAAGTATTTTACTTTCCCAGAAACTTTTAACTAAAGCTCCCAAAAAAACACCCTGTATATTGGGTCACACACGTTAGGTTGGTAGCGGTTGATCTTCTGAAACCATGTTGATGTACGGTGAAATATAGGTCTCATTTACTCAGAAATTGCTCTTGTATAGGACCATTTCAAAAACTTGACTAAAATTGGGGATTATGCTGATCAGTCTGTAATTACTAATCTCCGACTGATGACCTGATTTGAATAAGGGACATATCCTAGCTATCTTCGATGCTGTTGGAAAAGTGGACGTATTGATTGATAAATTAAACAGAATACAAAGAGGTATTCTGAACACCATGGCACAATCTTTCACTAAAAAGCTCGGGACCTAATCATGACTTGATGTGTACTTATTAGGCAATTCCTTAATAGCTGTATAGACCTCATCTGTAGTAAATCTACTAATTGAAATATTGGGCATGTTGATAACCTTTGGACTGTAATCATTTATGGTTGATTGTGATGGTAAATAAACACTTTTGAAATAATCCAATACCCTCTGGTGTACACATTGAAGTAGCAGTAGCAGTAGAATTAATTACTATATACTTAGAAGCGGTTATGAAACGTTGACCTGCTATTGTAAACGACTTTTCTTAATGTAATTTATTGGTACGTACATAAACAACCAAAATGTTACAAGGCTTGACAATTTTTTAATTGGAACCCTAATAAAAAATCATGTTAATCTGTCATGCGATTACCCAACGATTAATTCTATCAAACAACAGTATTGCCAATAGTTGCTCGTGCTTAGTGTTTGATCCTTATCTACAAGATACCCATTAAGGTACGTACTTAATAGTGAAGATACTTATAGTGCAGTATAGCTTCCGCCTAATAACACGTAACTGTATGCTCGCTTAAGTAGATACATTGCAGATATGTCACGAGTAAAAGATAATGACGAGGAAGTCAAAAAGAAGATAGTTTCTCTGATTAAGGGCATTATAAAAGGTGACACGGAAAATTATAAACTCGAAATAACTAGAGCCTCCAAACCAGGTGATAACTGGCTGGGGTTAATGTACAGCGTATCAATTGTGAACGGAGTGAACTCTGAACTGAACCTAATCGTAAAGATGGCGCCCTACCAAGAGCCTTACAGGAAAGTGTTTCCTATTCGAGTAATCTATGATCGGGAAATATTTGTTTATGATAACGTTTCTCCTCAATTTGTGAAGCTGCAGGAGGAGAAAGGAGTGAAAATCATCTTCCAGCCCTTCGCGAAGCACTATGTGACATCATTGCAAAGTCATGGTGAAGCCCTTGTAATGGACAATATGAAAAGTAAGGGTTTCGTTACTGGTAATCATAGAGTCGAGGTCGACTACCCTCACGCTTTATTGGTGATGAAAGAGCTGGGAAAGTTTCACGCCATGTCATTGGCCATGAGAGATCAGAAACCTGGAGTCTTCAGGCACCTTCAGGACAACTGCCAAGAATCGTTCTTCAACAGTGATTCATTTGAACCCGTATTAACCATGATAAAAAACTTGGGCAATATTGTGCTCGAGTCATACGATCCTATTAGAGACAGCTTGTATATTGAACCTCTTAAACGCTCACTAAGTAAAGTCAATGACACCTTCGCCGGCATGAGGTTACAGGAACGGTATGGGGAGTACGCAGTAATAAATCATGGAGATGCTCAGATGAGGAATATCATGTTTAAGTATGGGGTAAGTGTGTATCATTTAAAACCGATCCTACTACACCACTTTGCTTAGGATTCCGCACACCCGTCCACGCCAACTGAACTATGCCTAATTGACTGGCAACTAGCTCACGTGGCATCGCCCGCGTTTGACATATTATGGTTTATCTTCGTTTGCACCGGCCAGGAGTTTAGAAACCGCCATTACAAGCAGCTACTGGAAGAATACTATGGCAGTATGTCCACTCTATTGCGACAACTGGGTAGCAATGCCGAGAAACTGCTACCATTTGATGTTTTAATGGAACACTTAAGGAAGTTCGCCCCGTATGGATTGTACATTGCGATTTGGATTGCAGCACTGAACATGAAGGAGAGCGCAAATATTCCAGATCTATACAACAGTAGCGAGGATGTAATCATTAATCACTTATCCGTTGCTCCAAGCCAAGCTTACATGACAAAAATCCGTGGAGTGATTTCGGATTTTATTGAGTATGGGTATACTTTCTAAACTTTTTTTAAATTGTTGTTACATTATTTTTTCATTTGATCATACAGTTAATTCGCTTTGCTTTGATGATAAAATATATAAATATACTCGTATCTACTGCCTTAAGGCTACCAAGCACGTTTTAGTGTAACTTTGGAATTGTAAAGACCTTTTTGTTTTATACATCAATTAAATTGTGAATTTAGGGTTTTCGATTTTTAGGCTGCACTATCTATTTTCTTTTTGGCTGCCCCTACTGCTTGTATGTTTTTCACCGACTATGTGGCTCAGTGGTAGAGCGTTGGGCTACATAGCCGGAGGTCGGGTGTTCGAACCTGGGCTGAGTTAATAATTAATTTTAGTTTCTCTACGTTCTGTTTTAAAACGAGCATTAAAAGCTGCAAGGTCGTTCGATTTATTCCGTTATCGCAGAACTTTTGCAAGTGACCCGAAATTCCAAGAATCAATGGGCAGTAATGAACTACTGAATTTGGAGAATTCAAACCGGCCATCCGAGTGAGATACCGGTTGGCGATTTTTAGGACCACCGTGGGCCGCACAATTAATTAAAGAAGTTTTAATTTATTTTGAGCTTATCGCAACGACACGCCGCCCGATTTGAATTTTCCTACATATTCCCTTCCCAAATTGACGATTGAATAAATAGGTAAGAACACGAGAGGAGCCATCTTGTTGGTTAGAAGAATTTGAGCGCATTCGTTGATTTCGACTGTTTTTTTTACTCCAAGGTAAGATACTATCTTAACCGTTAGGATTTATAAAGGGGGGTTTTGTTTCTTCCTCTGTATTTTCTTCATTTAGATAATTAATTACTTGCCGTTCCCGCTTTGGGAATTTGTTGTCCGTAATTCTGTTGTAGATTACCGTCAGTCTTTACCGTACCTTTTCGAAGCCCTGGATTAACCGATTTCTCCGATTGAAGAATCTGTGGCAGCCGTAACCGCGAGGTTTAGTCCGCCGTCCTCGTCCAGGCGCGAGATTATCGTCTGGTGGCGCCCGAAGCTCCGTCGACCGATCCCGCTGTTTCAAGCACATTTTAATACCGTATTTGTACTTTGTCCAGTAATTAAATATCCAGTAATTAAATATTTGTCCGTGCCTTACATTTTTTTGTTTCTTGTATGTGACGGGACGATAAAGACCGGAAAGATCGTCGCAATACTTCCGTTTCTAGTCAAGCAAGGACTAAGGGATGCATCTTTCAAAATACGGAAGTAGGTTGGATTCCTTAGGGGAAGACAAAGGTCGCCAAAGAAGAAAGCGTACCAGTACAAATCATGGTTTCCATCAGGGAGGAGACCGCTGTAACCAAATTCTGGGAAATTGAAGAAATCCAACCCCAAGAGGAAGTGATGTCGCAGGAATCCTAATAGGACGACGGTTTGGAAACCGCCAACAAACGAAACTATCACCAAACGGAAACTTAAATCGAGCTAGAAGTCGCACCGAGGACCGTACCACTCCCACAACCACCGCCTTTCCTGCAGGCGGTCCAAGATGTTCATTTAGAACAGATTCCCCCGTCCGCCAAAATTTAGGAACCATTAAACGTAAAAATAACCAGGAAGAAAATAAGTTAAGGTGAATTATTTAGAAGTAAAAATAAGAAAATGCCGCTAACGAAACTAGGAAACAAAAACGTAAACGATTTAAAACAACAGGAAGATGTTCTTGACAAGGACGAGGCGTCAGAAGTTCCTAACTAACAATATAATATTAAACTAGGTTATTAAGGAAGCAATTCTGTGATATAAATAGCATGTAGTTCTTATAATAAACATTATCAGTTCTCAACTGTCAAATTGTGCAACTCGTTGGGTGAAGTACTCAGTTTCCAAGCTACGAGATAATCCTCGAGCGAAATTTTATCTTGTATAAGATTTACTTGGAAGAGCTAAGGATTTATGATCCGTTCAACGGTCAAATCAATGATCGACCGACCATTTATCATTTTAATATTTATGAGTTCAAACAGATTTCAAGAGGAATTTCTCGATGGACTTTACGTCCTAAAAGTTCTATTTTCATGGTCACCAATGGACCAATTCTTAGGTAGGTCATACTCGCGAAACACCTCGAGAGCGATTTTTCCTAATTGGTCAAGTGGGGAAACTTCAACCACTAATTAAAAGGGAAATGAATCTAGGAATATCCTGATGGCATAAAGGGCACAATGCACGAGGAGATCAAGATTCGGGTATGTTCAAGGACTTTCAGTACTGTCGACACACCTAACACCTCACAACTATCGAACACAATCCATCTCTTCATCTACCCGGCAGTATACACCCACGTATATGGTACGTTATACCTGTTTGACCAAAGATGTCTTTTACCTCATAACAGATTTTCGACACTAGAAATGGTTCCTTCGATTTGGGAGTATAGCCAAAAGTTTCGTCTCTGCATAGTGGGCATTAAAATTTGCTTTTTACATATCTTGAGCGACCACAATTTTTCTGGAGATGGTTTCCTGAACGCCTAAAACATCCACGTCTTTTTTTGGATCTAAAAAAACAACATTCTGGACCCGGAATGAACATTCAGAACATTTTCGTCCCAATCATCGTCTTCTAAGTGTGCCTCATAGTAGCTAATGAATCTAGGACAGTTTTGCCAACATTATTAAGGTGTAACTGAATGTTTCTTTGGCTGCTGATCTTAAAATTTTAGAGTCGAATACCTTCCCTCTATGACTGATGGTCTCGTTCCCTCGACAAAAGTAAATTCTTGATCTTCATGAGCACTTTGTCCGCTTCTTGTGCTGCCATAAGAAAAAGAGCATAATATACTGATCTTTGATCATTGATGCTTAACAATCGGGTACCTACTGAGCGCATCAATATATGGGCCCCTGTCGATACAAACCTCAAAATCATACTCCTGCAAGTCTAATACCTAACGACTAATTCTGCGAGATAGATCTTTTTTGTTCATTGCGTTTATTTTAGTCGCATCCACCTGAAAACGATCAAAAGAAAAACATCCCAAGCCGCAGTGCTAGGTATATAATTAGTTGATTAATGCCTGAAGGGCCTCGCTCTACTCGTAATCTGCTTCTATTCCAGGTACGGTACTTTGGGCATTCAGAAGGAAGTGGTGGTCTCCAACAACACTCGATCATAACTTAATCGAGATGGCAAAGATACGGAGTAGGTAGGTACTAATTCCCAAATTCCTTGAAGGTAATAGTATATAATGCTGAAGGGGCGGCAGTTTCTCCTTATGAAGGACCGATCCTTGATATTAAATCTCCTTCATGACCCGATGAAGGAATTCCCAGCTAAATGACCGCTGGTTATCAGCGGGTAGAAAAATAAGTCAAAAGCGTCGGCACCCGCAGACTATGGTGAGCTTAATTTACAAAACTTGTGCGTCGAACAGAATCGTATGTAATGCAAAGGAACTTAAGCTGGGAATTAAACTGGTCCTTAAACTACCTTAAACGGGAACTAAAACCCTAAAAGAAATCGAAGGTAACCCCCCTTCGTTTACGACCTACCTATATAAGAGGACTAATGGTAGCTGGAGCAACAATTGTTGATGGAAATTGCAGTACAACAAATTACAGCTGACGATACTGTAGGATGAACGCAATTGTAAGTCCTCACTAGGAGTATACTCGAATCCGTCAACTAATTACTTCGGAATTCCCCAATTATGAATCCAATCGCCAGACATCAATATATTCGGAAGATGGCAATTAAAATTCCATGCGTTCTACCTCACGCTTTTAGGTGTTTTTTATTAAGCCACGTGTATTTCGATACGGCTTTTGAAGGAAAATAAAGGTGAAAGTGGACACTCACCAATCAAGGAAAGAAAATGCGCCATCAAATTGCGTTGTCAAATTCCAACAATAGATGGAGCCATTTATCAAATTGTTGCAATTGTTACGGGGGTATTTCAATAATTAATAAACCGTAAACAATAATAATTCTTCGTAATGGAGAAAATAATTCAGGACCACGGAACAAAGAACAAAAGAATTATTGTAACATTGCGAAACATAATGTGACGAAGAAAATTTGGAAGAAAAGAAAGAATCCAGAATTACGGCTCCTGCTGCTCTTGGTGGTATGGGTGGTTCGACGATACTGGAAAAAAACTGCTCGGAGAATTTAGGCGCCACTAATTTTCGTTAAATTCAGCCGTACAGGAAAAACTAGAAACCTGCTCCTGGTGATCTGGAAAAGCAAGACGAATAACGAGGAGAAAATAGAGAAAAGTAGCGAAATAGGAATAATATTTATTGTAGGGCGAATGATGAGAAATGGCAGTGGAACGATAGCAGAGAATTAAGCAATAAAATAACGGTACGAGATCTCGTCTCACAGTAAGACACAAAACTTGACTAAAAATTAATTAAACGGATGGTAAGGTGACTGAATTAATGTATTGGTTTTTTTTTTTTAAATAAACTTAACGGGCAATCATAAATGAATAAAGGTAAATTGGAGGTTGCTTAGCTATTGTTCCTGGCTCCTGAAGTTGTCCAGCGGTTGTTCGGCAGACTCGGTGAGTAGACCAGTGGCTAAATACGTGGAAAATAAGGACAGGGTGGAGGGTAGAAGGGATCAAATGGAAACGAAATTTGTAGGTATCGAGAGAAGATTGAAGACTGAAGACGGACAACTGAAGACTGAAGACGGACGACGGAAGACTGAAGACGGATGACTGAAGACTGAAGAAGACGAAGAGTTCGAAGCAGTACGGTACAGGTATAACAGGTATAACAAATAAGAACTAAAAAATACAATACAATAAATATAAGCGATACAGAAACACGAATACTTACAAAAGTGGTTGAAATCCGGCGAGCAAGAGGTAAAGTATATATATTGGTTGTAGATGAAAAATCGCAAAACACAAGTGCGCCTCTCCTCTACTCTTGATCCCCAAAATAGGGTTTAAAAGGACGAATACTAATTCCTTTTGTTAAGTAGGGTGAACTTCAAGAGGCTAATAACAGTAATACCAATATAATTAAGGAACGTAAAAAGTTAGCCGGAAAAGAATAGATTTTTGAAAAGAGCGGGAAAGAATAGCGTAGTTTACACGAAATAACAACAGATGGCCATGAAACGAATCAGAGGCGTAACATTAAATAAAATGTATTACACATAAGCTTTGAAAATTAGAATAGTGAAAACAGTAATGAAAGAAGAAGCGTTTAGAGCGTGAAAAGGAAGATACAATCGTAAGAAAAGGGCAAGAATCGAAAGAAGCGAAGAAATCAAAAGAAGAGATTTAATGAAATGAGTTCAAATTCCTAACCTAAAAATCAAAATAAATAATGCAAAAATAAAGTAAAAATGGACCTGTAACAATAAGTCTTTTGAAGTTCAAGATTTTTTGATCAGACAATTCAAATAATACAAATATTTAGAAGAAGATTGAAATTGAAGCAATTCAAAAAACAGTTTAACGAGAGAATTTCTCCGACAAAAACCGTTCCTCAACAGTTTGTCTAATATAACTTTTATCTGGAAAATGCACACTTTGTTGTCACCATTCTTACAAACATACTTTTATTCACGTTCGCTATGAAGTGGTATATGTGTAAATTTTCGTATCTGGAACAAAACTCAAATTTGAAAACAGAACTTTTAATATTCTAAAACGACATGAAATTATACTGCGCATAACCTCGCAAACACTTTTTTCTCTGCAACCAACAACTTCTTGAAGTAGTTTGTTCATTTGTTTTACATGAGTAAAGACTTTTTCTATCTGTTTCGTTATGTATGTAACGACCTATTCCGTCTTGCATTCCTTTTGATTACTATCTTTCACCGACTACTCGCTTGGTTTTTTCTTCTCTTCGCTGCAATCGGCTCCTCGTTCTACCATCAGAATTACTGGACGGCGGACTAGAAGTATGGCGAAAAAAGTCACCACATCTTCATAAATATAAAATAGGCTTGCCAAGGAAGAAAATATGAAAACAGTAAACAGAGTAAATCCAGGAGCGTTTGAGGAAGCCATTACGAATAAAAATGGGAGCAAGAGAAGAATATTGAGTACCTACCAGAGAAGAGGAAAAAGTAGGCGAGCTGACGTTACAAGAGCTAAGCCTGACGAGGACATAAGATTTCTAGATACCTTGGGCGCTATCGAACAACAGACGGAAATCTCGAGTCATAGGACTCAAATTGGAAGGATGAATTAAAGGAAGACCGGAATCCTACGCATGGGGTGATTTTCAAATCAATGCTCAAGAAAAGAAATTGGATTTCGCAGAGATAAGGATGTCAAGGTGGAATATGGGAGAGAAGAAGAGGCATATGGTTACAAACAAGTAGTTCAGAGAGCATATAGGAACTGTGGAGCCGTAGACGAAAGGTCAGGAAAGAAGATTTGAATGGTATGGGTATATGTGAAGGAGAGATGAAGGTCTAAAAGAAAATCGATAAATTGGATAGAGGAGAATTTGAGTGAAACACATTTCATGCATGAGAATACGAGATGAGGTAGAGGAAAAAATCGAGAAATAGCGATCCCTATGTGTTAGAGATAAGCTAAAGATAAAGAAAAAGGAGCAGATGAATTATGTGGGAGCAGATGAATTATGTGGGAGCAGATTTATAGTGCTACAGCACAAGTGTGCCATTAAAGTCGGGTCACAAAATATGTACGTCACGCCGGAGATGGCACAAAATAAGCACCAAATTTAGATACATCTGCGACAAGGAAGCGCCCATTATTGACTGTTTACATAAATGACCTCTGATATGCAACAGTCCTTGACATTTGATCCTACGATTGTCGGAGATCTATACATACGAAGCTGATATACAAATGTTGCCCAAATAACATGATTGTAACGGTTCCTAGCAATCTAAATTTACCGATGAACCTCAAAGCAACATTCAATATTACCTCAACGTGTAATATTAGTTAAGATTCCCAACATAATTAGTCAATAAGTAAGTATCACTAGAAACTTGAGTACCTACCTATGTCTAATACGTTTGTCGTTACAGCAATGTCGGCAGTTTCCAGCCATCAGATTGAAGAGAAGATATTACCAATTGTTAAGAGCTTTCTAAATAGCAATGGAGAGCGGCATAAGATAGATATTTCTCCCGCTTCCCAACCTGGAGAGAATTACCTGGGTCTTATATATACCGTCACAATCACAGACAAAAAAGACGAGAAACTACATTTGATCATAAAATTGGCGCCTTTCCAAGAACATTACCGAAACATCTTCCCCATCAAGGAGGTTTACAACCGGGAAATATTTTTCTACCAAAATGTCTCAACTGAGCTTGTAAGGATACAAGAAGAAATGGGAATCAGCGACGTTTTTCAACCCTTCCCAAAGCTCTACTTAACAAGGACGCAAGATAGAGGCGAAGCACTTGTAATGGACAATATGAAGAAGAAGAGTTTCACCACCGTAAGCCAACGGGTCGAAGCAGATTACCCACACGCCTTGTTAGTGATGAGAGATCTAGGAAAACTTCACGCTTTATCGTACGCGATCAAGGATCACAAACCTGACACATTCAAGTACTTTGAGCAAAACCTGCAAGAATCGTTTTACAATAGCAGTTTCTTGGAATCAGTCATTGAGATGATCGTACCGTTAGGAAACAAGGTGCTAAAGTCATACGATGCGGAAAAAGAGAGTCTTCACTTTGAAAGCTTAAAGGGTTCACTGGAAAAGGCGGCCGACACCTTAAGAAGCCTGCTAGAGGTTGGGGAATACTGCGTGATTAACCATGGAGATGCCCAAACAAGAAACTTTCTGTTCAGATACGGGGTAAGTTGATAGGTAAACCTGCTCAACGTCTATCAAGCTTTGCTTAGGATCCAACACACCCATCTGAACCCACAGAATTATGCATGCTCGACTGGCAATTGGTACGCATCGGTTCCCCAGCTCTGGATATACTTTTTTTTATTTTTGTTTGTACCAATCAAGAACTTAGAAGTAAGTATTACACACGGTTATTGGAGGAATATTACAGTAGCCTATCCGATGTATTGCGCCGACTCGGAAGCGACCCCGCCAAATTACTACCCTATGATGTGTTAATGGATCATTTGAGAGAGTGCGCCCCTTACGGTTTGATTATGGCGGTATTGCTGATAGCAATGAACATGAAAGAAAGTAAAAATGTTCCCGATTTGTACAACTGGACCGCTGATCAGGCGATTGTTGAGGAGTTTGCTGTCGTTCCCAGCGATGAATATGTGACCAGAGTTCGTGAGGTGATTTCGGATTTTTTCAAGTATGGATATAAGTTCTAATATTCAATAAATTATTATTTTTATTGTTGTTCTATTTCACCATAAATAAAACGCTCGAATCGCCAATGACCCATTTTGAGTAAGTCCGTGATAATACTATAACAATAGATCGGAATTCATTTTAGCACAAAAAATGTGCTCCAAGACAACTTTCCTCAACGTAGAAGTATCCTTGGAGGGTCTTACACGTCAATCTAACGAGAGATGGAATGCCCGTCAACCGTGGACGGTTAGCAGAGCAGTAGGGTTTTGGTCTTCATATAATTACCTTAATCTAGGGGGAAACAACTTTGAATTTTTGGTTTACACCCCTCTGAATTATTTTGAATTAACGTGAATTAATTTGAATTAGCGTGATTTAACGTGAATTAATTTAAATTTACGTGAATTATTTTGAATTAACGTGAATTAATTTGAATTAGCGTGATTTAACGTGAATTAATTTAAATTTACGTGAATTATTTTGAATTAACGTGAATTAATTTGAATTAGCGTGATTTAACGTGAATTAATTTAAATTTACGTGAATTAATTTGAATTAACGTGAATTAATTTGAATTTGAATTTTTGGTGTACACCAAAAATTGTACTTGTTTCCCCCTAGACCTTAACCCTTCAAAGAACCTACGGACAACCGCTAAACCGGCGCGGCTATAAAAAATAACAATTTTAGGACTAATTCAGACTCTTAACAGGAATTCAAGAAGAATCAACTGGCATCTTCTTACGAATAAATCCCTCTGATAAACCCGCTAAAGAAATTTACATAGGAAGTTTATAATTAAATCGATACATAATGCAAACAGTACTGGCTCAACATCAGTACCAATTCATTTCCGATTGAACTAAAAATATTTCAAAGGAAAACTGCTTGATTTATACTGTCCGGATGTAACTGGAGCCTTTTAACCTTTCCGTACGGGAGCGGGGTAACTCAGTTACCCCAGAGATAATGTTTTGGCTTAAACTTCTCTTTCGCGACTTTAAGGGCCTTGTCCTTCCAGGTAATCCTTCCTCGGCCAATTTTACGTCAATTATATGTCATTTTAAAATTGGCGTTGAATTACCTAAACTAAATAAGGTTATAAACCATCGGGGTACGTTGGTCGGTTACCCAGCGCAGAATTGAAAAATTCGAAACCGTTCGCAAGTTACCGTGTACACAGACGGATGGACGGACGAACAGAGAGTCCAAATGACCTAAATTGAATCAGTTAGTCGCTTCACCATTGTCTACCTATTACCATTGAATAAAGATCTATTATTCAATGCTATTACTGAAAACAGAATGGGAAGATCGAAATCGTTCGCGAGTTTATTTTATTTTATTATTATTCCTCTCTTGTTTTGGGCCCTCAACAGGCATGCGCCCAATTACAGAGTGACTCGCATAATGCTATTTAGAGGTGCCGGGTGACCCAATAAGACCGTTCCTCGGCCATATCTCGGGAACCGTTCATCCTATGACTTAGGGGTAATTTTCCCAATATTTGAGGTTAGGAACGAGATTTTGAAAAACGGTTTTCACTGGCCTCTTTGGATGTTATTTGACTACTTTTTCATAAAGAAAAAGTCATTATTCCATTTGATTTTTTGATTTTTTTAGGATTTTGGGTCATAGTGTCAAAACTAGCCCCCTGGCGGAGATGGACTCAACTAAATTAACTATATTTTGTTAAAATCGGTCAAATGGTTAAGAAGTTAGAGCAGGTTATTGCAAAAACAATTGAACGCCCCACGCCATCTTTGTTTTTGAAATAACTGAGTTTTTGTTTATACGAAAATGATAGATAAACTGGTTCTCTTTAAAAATTTGAAAAAAGAATGTTTAGTTTATTATGCGAAATTTAAAGAAAATGCAATTTTAAAATTTAAGATGGCAGTTACGCCCTCTGGTGGTCATTTTTAGAACTTGAAAATATTTTCCAGCGATTACCGATTTACGCAATAATATTTAGTTGTTAACAGACAACATTTAAGCTGGGGTAACGGAGTTACCCCACTCCGGTGAGTACGTAATGCTTCAGAAGGTACTTAGACGTTAGGGAGGGTAGTTAGAGAGCTAATTTTGTTATTTTAATTTGACAATTTTCAAAATTAATTAAACCAACCTTATTTTCATAAGACGAAGAATAGCATGCGTCATGTGACGTTTTAATGGCGCGATAAAATTATTATACCTCAGCATCAGCAGCATAAAAGTAAAGTTTGGGGTATAGTGAAAAATGTAGAATAAATTTGTTACATCATCAATAGGTTAGGTATGCCCCCTCCTGACGTTCCTCTTGCATATAAGGGAATATATTCGATCATGATAGGGGGACCCCCCCCCCCTTCATGTTACCCATTGTTCTCGAAAAAGAGTCGCACAAGAAAGTTATAGTTTATGCACACCAATTTATTTCGATGAGACCTTTCATTATAATATCATGAAGAGTAGAACGTGTGTTTACTCCTCCCCCCCCCCTCCCCCCGAATTTACAAAAGTTTTAGTTGGCACCATTAAAGGCATGCGTATGCAAAATCTGAGACCCATTGGTTGTCATATGTAAAAGTTATGCGCGTTTTACTATCTAAAACGTCATCTGAGGAAATAATTCATGCCCCCCCCCCCCTCCCAGACAACGTCTGGCACACCTTTCAAGGTATAGGGTAACTATGCAAAAAAATTCAGGACGCTAGGACCATTCCCATAGAACGGCAGGGGCATTTTTAAATATTCGCCGAAAGTACTTTGACGTGCAAATTATTACGGACTGCCGTGCATTCTGTAGGTGTTTCTAACCAGAGAAGGCCCTTTCCGCTATGAGCTAAAGTGTAACTTCAGCCACAAGTTTCCGTTTCCTAATCCCAAAATAGGGGAAGATCCAAATTATAACGATAAGCATCTATTCTCCGCCTTGAAGTTTCATACCCGAATTTAGGACCACACCGCATATTTGTGGTGTCGACCAGCCCTGCTGAACACCCGGTATGTAGAAGCGTTTTAAGTTGGGCGCTTCCAAGGTCGCTCCGAAAGTATTTGCGTTCGTTCTAGGAGTTGAAAATAGAACCTAACGGTAAAGCCCATCACACAATAATGAAAAAAATAAGGAATAAGAAATATGAAATAAGGAATAATAAATAAGGAATAACAATTTTATTCTCAATCTATTGACCTTTATGGATTTGCACACAACACTGAAATCTGAAATAAACCTAGGAAATAAGAAATAATAATTTCGTTCATTCCTATTTCATATTGCGAACCAATGACATTAGAAGAGGCGTGCACGCGTATTCTATATTTATTATTTTATTTTATCTTGTTAACATAAAATAAAAAAGTATGAGGTGTTGTTTTTGTGAAGTTATGAACTCGGAATTATATTTGATGTCGCGTCTGTGCAATCAGGGCCGCCGTTAGCCTCGACGGGCCCCGGGAATATTTTTTGACCGGGCCCCTATAATTGAAATTTTTGTTGTCCATCACCCTTATCTTAAACTAGACATTTTCAATCTTGACTACTTAGATTTGAAAGGAGACCATTTGAATAATATTTTCATACAGACACAGTAATTTTTATAATTTATTATCAAATAACCAAATTACAATTTAACTCTGCGGATTTTCTTATTAGAAAAAGTGAATATCACTCGCTCAAAATTAATTTCTCTAGCAAGTTGAGCTTCAAGAGCTAATGTACCGAGAATGATCTAACGATCTTGACCCATAGTCGATCTCAAACGGTTTTTTACTTAGCGAGCCTTCTGCCACTGTGCCGCAATTAGGAAATTTTGCTCAATGGTATGGTTTTTTGAATCTTCTGCTGTGCTGTTTTTTTTTATATTCTGCTCTCTCATATAGAGATATGCATATGCAGATTTCTGTTAAAAAATACAATTAAAAATCAGGTTTCAAAATCTCTTTAGGCCGGGCCCCGGAATATGACCGGGCCCCGGGGCAAATGCCCCGGCTGACCGGTATCGGCGGCCCTGGGTGCAATTAGCCTGCTATTGCCTTACATTTAGTTGCCATTATAATGACATAAATTCAAACGGCATGAGTGTTCTGATTGGCTGTTGCTATTTGTTTGTTGTGTTTTGCGTGTACGGCGTCACTATTTCTTATTCCTTATTTTTTCCATTGTGTGATGGGCTTAATTGATTTATAATATATTCGCTGTAGCTTTGCCGGTATGTCCTTAGCGCTTAATTTTTGAAGACACAACCTTACATCGTTTTTGTCCTTTTCTAACTTATGTGTATCATCCTCACCTTAACTTTTGGGTACATCTAAACGCCCCGAGCAATTCTCAGATATTGCTATTAACAATTGAGATTTGCTTTTGTTACAAATTTTAAGATTAGTGGTGTTAAACATTTTATATGCTAATGTTGTGATATATATTAATAATTTCTAATGAAATTGCGACACCGCATAGTCAATGAACCGTGCAGTTTATAAATGGGAATACCTAATTACAAACCAACAAAGGTACAGCGAATATGCTATAATTTCTAGAGTTGTGTTTCAACCGCCGTTTTGCGTCCGAAAGCTCGTGTCATTTAGACGACGAGGGCAAATTAATATTTCAGAATTGTTTTTGTTTCTTATGTTAATTTAAAACGAGCATTAAAACCACAAGATCATGCAGGTTTGTGCCGTAATCAAATTAATAAGTGACTTTTATGCTGATTTTAGGGAATTAACAATTAGCCTTAGATTGCTAGAAATTTCAATCCGGCCAATTAAGTAAGTGAAATTAACAGTGGCTCAATTAATGTGTTGCAGTAAGCGTCATTCCACATAGTGGTGTGGGGCATCAAAAGAATCGCTTTTAATTAGTCGGAACTTTAAGACCAATTACAAATTTTTAGGACGTGAGCAGGCCGCACAATTAATTAAAAGAATTGTAATTTTTGAACACTATAACCGAATACGCTGGCCGGCCCGGAATTTCCTATTTTCCCACTCCGTATTTTGGGAAGTATATATACGGTAAACACTTAATCCATAGGGGATCTTGTTCCTTTGGTGTATAACCGTATCTAAACCTATTTGCATGTTGCATCTTCTCAAAGTTACATTTCGTAAGTGCCGTGAATTTATATTGCATTCATACCGTTTAATTTTTGCTTTTACGTATAGTTTACCGCACCGTCTCTGTAGCTTTGGATTTTTCTTACACAGTAACTTCTACCGCTCTGTTTAATTACAAGGTACGCTTTTTGTTACTTTCTGTTTCATTAATCATAAAGGAAGGATATTGTTTCGCTCTCCTGCATTTGCTTTCTCGTAGATAGTGCTACCGAATCCGATTATTTACTGTTCCCGCTTGCCCTTTAGAATCCCTGGGGCTCCCGTTTACTCCGTTTGAGGTTGTTCCAGGCTTCCGAGACCGATCCGCCAGACCACTGCTACCGCCGGCCTTGACTAGGGGCAAGGCCGTACCCTTGGTGGCGCTCGAGCCCGTCCGTCCGATAGACTTCCACCACTTTCATCCACTCACATGATGTAGTGACTATAATTTGTAAATATATTTATTTTTCTTGTAAATTAAATTATAATCATTATTCCGCCAATGCTTAAGTAATTTTTGATGCGCGGATTTATTACCGTAGTTCGTCGCGTCCGAGCAGGGAAGCGCCATCCATCCATTAAAAGTTGAGCACTGTTCCTAGCAGACAAATATGGCGTGTGTGTCCGATTTCCATTTCAATCAACAGCACTTTGACATTTGTCTGCATCTATACATAAGAAGAAGATAAGAATGAATTTTTCATCATAACATGATATGAATGGGTCATCGAAAATGAGCATCAATCATAAATTAACGACATATTTTGTAATTGAGCAATCTCAAATTATTGGCAAAAATTAAAGGTTATCAGACTGACTGTAGCACCCTTACATCTACACAAACAATCAGTTCATCTGTCGCCTGGCTTCTTTGTCAACGAGTATAGTTTATGTACCACCACAAACTACTGCTACAGAGTTACGTTGCAGCAATGACGGAATTTTCCAATAATCACATCGAACAGACTATTATCAATTGCTAAGAGCCTTTTAAATGGCAAGGAAGGGAAATACAAGATAGAGATATCGGCTGCTACCAAACCTGGGGATAATTATCTAGGGATTATCTACAACGTCACAATCACAGATAATGAAGATGAAACAAACCCCGAACTACATTTAACTATAAAATTGGCGCCCTTTCAAGAAGTTTATCGAAACGTATTTCCCATAAAAGAAATTTACGACCGGGAAATATTTTTCTACGATAACGTCTCGACGGAGTTTATAAATATACAAGAGGAAATGGGAGTCGAACAAGTCTTTCGACTCTTTCCGGAGCACTACTTAACGAAAATGAAAGAGAGAGAGAAGAGGCGCTCATAATGGACAACAAGAAAAAGAATGGTTTCGTCACCGTAAACCATAGGGTCGAAGCAGATTACCCACACGCTTTGTTGGTGATGAGAGATTTGGGCAAACTTCACGCCTTGTCGTATGCGATGAAGGATCATAAACCGAGTACCTTCAAGTATTTACAGGGCAACTTACAAGAAACATTTTTCAATAGCGATTTTTTTAAATCCGTGCTTGAAATGATACCCGTGTTAGCAGACAAGGTGCTAAAGTCCTACAATCCAGAAACAGAAACTTTTAAAAGTGCAATCGAAAACGCTGCCCAAACTTTTAGAGGCTTGTTGGACGTTGAGCGATATGGAGAATATGCCGTAATTAACCATGGAGACCCCGAAATGAGAAATTATCTTTTTAGATACGGGGTAAGTTGACAGGTATACCGCCACAACCTCTACAAAGTTTTGCTTAGGATACAACACGTCCATCTGAACCCACAGAATTATGCATGGTCGACTAGCAACTCACACACGTAGGATCACCGGCTTTGGACATACATTTCTTTATTTTTGTCTGTACCAATCAGGAACTTAGAAATAAGTATTACTCGCAGTTATTGGAGGAATATTACAGTAGCCTGTCCACCGTATTACGCCAACTGGGATGCGATCGCGCCAAATTACTACCGTTTGATGTTTTACTGGATCACATGAGAGAGTTCGCTCCTTTCGGTTTGCTGATGGCGACTTGGATTGTAGCGATGAACCTGAAGGAAAGCAAAAATATTCCCGATTTGTACAACAGCGCAACTGAGCATGCGATAGTTGATGAGTTTGCCGTCGTTCCCAGCGATAGATACGTGACGAGGATTCGGGAGGTGATTTCCGACTTCTTAAGTACGGATATAAGTTCCAGTACATACACATTGTTTTTTTTTTAATGTAAATAAATAAATAAATAACGAATAAATCTTCTTTGTAGAATATTCGTGATTTACTGCCCTGGTGGGAGATCAAAAGAATCATTTTGGTTTAGTTATGCAGATGAGTAGCGGCAATTTACAACTACTCGATTCAGGATCATTCCAAACGGCAACATTAAATTGGTGACGTTGCATTTCGCATAAATACAAACACGCATAACTCCCATTTCGCATAAATGAATTTTCATTTACAGGCATGTGACATAATTTAAACGACGCAAAAAAAAAACTACGCATAACTGGCAATACGCATAACTCCCATTTTGCATAAATAAGATTCTCGTAACTGGCATTTCGCATAAATTAAAGATGCATAAAAAAAACTGTGCATAACTCCCATTTCGCATAAATGAAAGATGCATAAAAAAAAGTACGCATAACTCCCATTTCGCATAAATATCCGTAACTGGCATTTCGCATAAATTAAAGACGCATAAAAAAAAGTGTCCATAACTCCCATTTCGCATAAAAACAGGTATCCGACCGACGGCGGCGGTGGCCGACCGACCATTTCGGCTACTCTGGACGTAACGTTTGAAAAAATCATCTGAATTAGAAACACAAAGCGTGTCTGTTTATTGGTTTATTCCGTTTATTCTTTGATGCAAACTAATGAAAGTATTCGTTTATTCAAAGACTACTCCATGATTACTGTTCATAACTTCCCGTGCAAATTTTACTACTTTTATTCTTTAACGAAGTCAAGTGTAAAAGGTTTGCCACATTACATGGCAAACTAGGCGAACGCCAACGTTTCAGATGTGTACAAGTTTCCTTGCCAAATTAAAGCTTGTCAAGTGAGTCATACACATTATATGTCAAACTTCCCTATACTTCATACAGTATCATGGCGAATGTCCTTTGAAGTGGGTCCGTTTACCGACTGCTGGGCGAACGTTGACAATGTGCGACTCATACACATTTATGGCAAACTCGACGCATCACCAACATTCGTCTAGTTTGCCATGTAATGTGAGGCCGCCTTTATACAGTTTGTTTCAAATTAAGTCGGCACTATTGTTAATTTTCTAATGGCCGTTTGCACCGAGAAATTTAAGCGGGACTTAGCTTAAAATCCATGACATAACCATTGTCTCAATAATCGTTGCCATGGATTTTAAGCTACGCTTAAGTTAAGCCCCGCTTAAATTTGTCTGTGCAAACGGGCATTAGCTGTAGAGTTAGACACACGGTTAACTTATCAAAATAGTATCCAAATATGTAATTTAAAAAAAACAAATCTCTCATTTTCCAGATCATTACAAAAATGTGACAATAATATTTTCAACCGTATAATTGTATTTTAACTACCTAGTTTTAATAGGGCGGCAATAAATCGATTGTCTCTAGCCAACTATAGTCAGGTCGGGTAACAATTGAGTATAAATAAACAGTGCATCATGGTACAAGTTAAGTAATTGTCGTATTTAATTATCATGCTAGCAATATTTTCACATGCTAAATACGCCGATATGGTATTCATTTACGGTTTCTGATATGGAAGTGCCAATGGAAGCCATTGCCGAGTATCCCCATAAATTTCGAAATCGATGCACTCTGCAATTGCACCATAATTTGACTATAGTTGGCTAAAGACAATAGATTTATATACATATAGCGGCCCTATGAAAACTAGATAGTTAAAATAAAATAATAATTGTTGCTATATCTTGGAAGCGGTTAAGAATAAAAATATAGTTTATTAGCGTTTTTGTCTTCAAATAATCTCTACTTCAATTTCCAAAAATATTACCCCTGCATATGCCCGGAAACAGCGAATGCTCGGACATAATTCGAAAATTGGGAAACTAAAAATGTAATTTCCAAAAATACGCTATGAGTTGTGATTATTCAGTATCTGGTATAATTACGCCCTCTAGGTATAATTGAATTTTGCGTGCGCTTCTGCATACTGTTGATTAAGTACAGAAGTAGTCTAACTCTAAGTAACATTATTCCACTCTTCTTGAAGCACAATGCAAAGTTTTGTGGTGAATCGAGAGACTGGTCGCGACTACGACTCGTACGCATTTGTCAAACATCTCTCAAGCATGCTTTATCAGATTTATCCCCGACGGACATGCTAACCATAATACATAATTTTTGTGAAAATATCTATAGTAAGAACTGAGTGGTACAGTATAATTGCCTAGTTTATCGAACAACAATTAAATTACACAGTACGTACGCATGTGAAGCAATGTGACCTATGTCACTCCTATGTGACTTATAGGCTGACTTGCTATTATTTATTAATTAAGAAGATAAAATCGAGGATAAAATACTTTTTCTATTTCGGTGTCACAATGATGATTTTGTACAACTGTTTTCGGCTGAAAACAGTTGTACAAAGACAGTGATTATAGTCGTTTTTTTTTGGTAACTCATTTCTTAAGTTGGCAGTTACTAGTTAGTACAAGTAGGTACTTCGTTGGGTACTTCCATGTTTGAACTTCAAAATGTCAGCCTTACTACGCTGCCAATCTAAAACTTAACGGCATAAAAAGTGTTCCCAACATAAAACATGTTAGTTTTAACGTTCCCTATAGTTTCTGATAATGATTTTTTCAATTAAATTAAAGCACCGAAATAGAAAAAATAGTATGAAAAACGCGTGTTACAATGCTTTATTGTAATACTCCTATCTTGCGGACACTCGTGGCTACGCTTCGCGTCGCCACTCGTGCCACAAGATAGTCGTATTACAATAGGTCGCATTGTAACACTTGTCTTTCAATATACTATAGTAGGTAGGTACTGGAAAAAGAGCAAGAAATGCAATTGTTTGGTAACGACCCCTTTCGAGCGCAGCCTGCTTTTAATACCAATTAGATAATATTCAACCAAAAAGGCTATCTTAACAGTTTGATCCTCGGTTTGATCCAATTTGACCAACCATGGAAAATTTCTTCAGAAAAACTTTTTGCAAAATTCATTATGAAAAATCTATTAACCTATGCGGTTGCATACAACAAAACTTTAGAGTTTTTCTAATTGCTTTTCACCAAGTGAGTACCATCCTAGGTACCATCCATCAGTTTGATGATGATTGCTTTGGACTTGTTGTTCACAAGATGTTATTGGAGGATGAATGCAATCATTTTAAACCATAAAGACCATCTTTATAGTTGAACCAATTTGACCAACCAAGGCAAAATCCTTCAACAATGAACTTTTTGCAAATTTCTTTAAGGAATATCGAATAACCTTTTAGGATGCACATAAACATGAGCAAATAGCCTTAAAGTTTTTATGATTTCTTTTCACCAAGTAGGTACCATTTTTGTACTGGGACATATGCAAAGCAGTTTGATGATGATTTCTTTCGAAATATTGTTCACAAAATGTTATTGGAGGACGGATGAAATCATTTTAAACCATAAAGGCCATTTCTATAGTTTGAACCAATTTGGCCAACCAAGGCAGAATCCTTCAAAAATGAACTTTTTGCAAATTTCTTTACGGAATATCGAATAACCTATTCGGTTGCACACAACCATGTGCAAATAGCCTTAGAAGCCTTATGATTAGTTTTCACCATGTATGTATAGGTAATTGTATAGGTACCATCTGTGTACTTAAACAAAAATACAAAGAAGTTTGGTGATTATTTCTTTGGGGTTGTTGTTTACAAGATGTGATTATAGGATGATTTAGATTATTTTGAACCATAAAGGTAATTTCCATTTCTTAAACCAATTTGACCAACCAAGGCAATTTTCTTCAAAATAGAACTTTTTGCAAATTTCATTATCAAATACAACACAACTGTTTAGGTGACATGTAACCATGAGCAAATACCTTTAACGTTAATGTGATTGCTTTTTATCTATTAGCAACAAGTATCAGAAGAAACATAAGAAGTTTGGTGATTATTTCTTTGGACTTGTTATTTATCAAATCTGATTGCAGGATTAGTTAGATGATTTTGAACCAAACAGGTCATTTCCATAGTTTGAGCCATTTTGATCAACCAAGGCAGCTTCCTCAAAATAGAACTTTGCAAATTTCGTTATGAAATACAGAACAACATTTTAGGTTAAATATAGACGTGAACAACCCTTTTGGCGGTATTAAGATTTCTTTTTAGCGAGTTTTTATGTAACCGACATTTTTGTAAGTTAAATTTTTATTTTCTATTGTTATTTTTTATTAGAAGTCGCTTTCTTTTTCGTATATTACGTTAGTTACTATTTTAGTTATATGAAGTAACACTACTCGCATAATTATTAGTTTTAAGTTTGTCCTGTAATTGGAAAGCCTTTCGGTTGGACATTTATTAAATGTTATTATTATTATGGTCGGTGTATCTTGTGAGAACTCAGGTCTAGCCTGGTTAACTAATCGCACGGATTAAAATCAAGTAACGATTAGTGTCTGTGTCTGTGTCTGGTGAAGTTATGTAGGGTCCTAAAAAAAAAAAACAAAAAAAAACACTCACATTGGAAATCTAGAGATAGTATGTATTTCATACTTACCAACATAGCTATTGATGGGCACAATAGCCAACGCTATCAGGACAAAACAAAACAAAAAAAATCATTATAATAATTCCTGTAATTTTATTAAATGGAGTTTATTGTGTAAGTGTTTCTTTGGCTTTGCGTTTGGGTTGAAT